TACTTGTCATTCAAAAGCTGATCTGTAAAACACTTTACAAGCTAAACTGAAATTCTCAATTTCCATAGAAATCTATTTTCAGAAACAGTTTTACATTATGACATTTTTGATCATCTGTTCCTGTTTCAGTTACACCAGGCATGAGAATGGTTTTGGTTCCCGTTGAGAAGCATGTACAATACAAGCAGTGTACCATTAACAGTCAATAGATAAATTCCTTAAATATGAATTAAGGAGACCCTACAGGCACTTCCCTAAGTATTAGGTTTAGTTATGCTATGTTTATTATTCATAATCATTTGAATACAGTTGTATTCCACAAACACAGTGTTTCTGTCTTTCACTCCCTAAGTGCAGCAATTAATTTCTATGGCAGAAAGGTGACAATTGAACTTCCAAAATATTTGATGTCCTGAGACTTATGGTATAAACTCAGCACTGTTTACAGAGTTAAGCAAGCCTCATGATTGGCTGAGTCACTTCCTTGTCTGGGAATGTTTCCTTGCAGAGGCCCTAATAATAAGTGTAATAGACAGGCACTTAAAATGTTAGTATATTTTTAATATTTATTACTTTTATATTTTATGGGTTTTGTATTTATTCTTAAATGCATCTTTTGTTCTATCCATTAAGAGATAATAGGTGAACTGTAGCCTGTTGTGTCCCTTTAATTGATATCATATTTCTGAAGTTCTGAAAACATGTCATTATACATGTGATACATTAGGTTGGGTTACAGCAATGTGTGTCCATGCTAGTGGGCTTTATTATTAACTAAAGATTTTTGCAACTTATTTTTCATTAAAAAAAAAAGTTAAATCATACTGATGCCACACATTTATTTGAATTAAGTTTTAATTTGGGTAAATAAAATATGAAGAACATTATTTAGGGAATGAAACACAGGGAAATGGTAGTAAGGCTACAGTTTCCAAAAAGTAAGAGTGTCGAGAGACCACCGGTTTGTTTATTTTTTAATCACTACTTCTGAATTTAAATTTTACTGTGTTCCATATTCTATAACTGTTCTTCAGACCTTTCGTCCCTCACCTTATTCACTACTTGTTATTTATAATTCGAGTTGCTTCCTCAACCAGACTTTGTTATATGGTTACAAAACCATATTTTCACGTGTATAGATAGGAACAAACAATTCCTTGAATTGAAATCCAAATATCAGATGCTGCCAACTGTATTCAGGAAATAGAACTTCCCTTTGTATGACTAAAGCCAAAAAAATACAAAGTTGCAAAGTGTCCATAACTGGTAGGTCTGTATGCGCAATAGTTCCCAACAAAAAAGTCTGATAAATTGCTAAAGACTGTACCTATCACTAGTTGTAAATATTTCACTTGCCAACAGCTAATGGGTGAGTTAAAATTTTGAGCCCTACATAAACTCACACTAACACTTTCAATAACACAAGCACACACGCAGACACACTGACATTCAATCTCAATATTTCACAATTATACAAACTAATTTTCAGAGCACACTTCCCTTGGGTTTAGCAGTATCATACTATGTCAACTGGACCCTATGTAGAAAGTTTGTATCATGCTGGTGGTAACATTATTGTCTTATAACTGAAAAACCCAGGTTTGAATCCCAGTAAGTGTCCATGGGCAGGGCCGGTGCAAGGATTTTTGCCGCCCTTGGCAAAAGAAAGATTTGCCGCCCCCCAACCCCAAGTGACATCGCAACGCCCCACCCATATGATCTGCCATATGAACTAACGCCAGTGCTGCACACAGTGTGTGTTTACATTAAAAAGCCTGCAGAGACAGACTATAGACACCAGAACCACTTCATTAAGCTGCAATGGTTCTGGGGACTATAGTGTCCATTTAATGTGAGGTAAATTAGAGATTAGTGTCACTAATAATATACTAGATTGCCTATTTACAATCTGATGATGATGGTGATGGGCTCTGGCTGCAGTCTGGCTCCACTGGTCTGGTGTAGAACAGGATATCTGGAGGCTGTTTGTAACTGTGGTTACAAAATTTAATGTTCTGGGAGAACGGGAAGCAGCTCCATTTTTTGGGGCCTCTTACATAGCTCAAGGTCTGGGCCCCAGGGCCTGACGGTGAGTATGCCCATAAGGCCCACCCATAAGTCCACCTACATGTTCCACCCATGAGTTCGCTCACAGGGAGTGGAGTGTGTAGGGGATGTGTTATGTGTTACTGTAGAGGATCTAATGTGTGTGCTTATGGAATGTAGTGTATAGGGATACCAGTTTGTGTAGGCGATGCAGTGTGTTTGTGTGTAGTGGAAGCAGTGTGTTTTTGTGTAAGGGATAGAAAGCAGTGAGTGTTTGTGTATAAGGGATGTATTGTGTGTTTCTTGTTGTGTGTAAGGGATGCATTGTGTGGATCTGTATTTGTATGCATAAGGGATGCAAAGTGTGTTTCTGTGTATGTAAGGGATGCAGTGTGTGTGTCTGTAAGGGATGCGTTGAGTGTGTGTAAGATATACATTGTGTTTCTGTGTGTGTATGTGTGTGTGTGTGTGTAAGAGAAGCAGTGTGTGTGTGTTTGCATGTGTGTGTAAGGGATGCATTGTGTGTTTCTGTGTATATGTGCAAAGGATGCATTGTCTTTATGTGTAAGGGTTGCATTGTATGTTTCTCTGTGTGTAAGGGAAGCATGTTGTGTTTCTGTGTGTACAGGGATGCATTGTGTGTGTGTGTGTGTGTGTGTGTGTGCGTGTGGTGTGAAAGAGCTCCCTGTCCTGCCCCCTGTCCTGCCCCCTGTCCTATAGAGCTCTCCCTTCCATCCCTTAGTGATCTCCCCTGCCCCTTAGTGGTCTCTCATCTCCCCCTTAGTGGTCTCTGCTCTCCTCTGCCCCCCCTTTCCATTAGTTGTCTCTCCTCTCCCCCCACCCTCCCCTGGTGGTCTATCCTCCACCCCCCTCCCTTAGCGGTCTCTCCTCACCCCCGTCCCCTAGTGGTCTTTCCACCACCCCAACCCTTCTTTAGTGGTCTCTCCCTCCACCGTGTTCTCCTCAACCACCCCTCCCTGTGTTCTCATCTCCCCCGGTGTTCTCCTCTTATTCTCCCCCGTGTTCTCCTCTTATTCTCCCCCCATGTGTTTCCTCTACTTCTTCCTCCTGTGTTCTCCTTCTTCCCCTGTCCCTGTAATCTTTCTTCTGCCCTGTCCTTTCTCTTCTTCTCCCTGTAATCTTTCTTTCTTCTCCCCTCCCTCCCTTGTCCCTCTTGTAATCTTCTCTTCTTCTCCCCCCTCCCTGTAATCTTCTCCCTCTCCTCCCTCCCTGTAATCTTCTCTCCTCCCTGTAATCTTCTCCCTCCCTCCCTCCCTCCCTGTAATCTTCTTCTTCTCCCCCCTCCTCCACCTTCTCCACTTCCCTCCCTATAACCTTTCCAACTCCTGTAATCTTCTACCCCCCTCCTGTAATCTTCTCCACTCCCCCTGTAATTTCCACTCCCCTGTAATCTTCTCCCTCCTCCCTGTAATCTCTCTCCCCTGTAATCTTCTCCACTCCCCCCCTGTAATCTTCTCCACTCCCCCCCTGTCTCCCTTCCAAGAGTGCATTAGGTCATGAATGAGAAGAACTAATACCTGTCTGCATGCCAGTGGTGGCCAGAAACGTGCCTTTATTAGTTCCCCTGCCCATTATAATTTGCACACAATATTTGGTCATTTCTTTTTCAATTTACATTATAAATAATATTGAAGTAATTAATTTTTTTAAAAAAAATCTATTCATGGCCTAATTATCACACATTCTGAAGCCAGTATACTTTGAGCACTGGTAAGGTTTGGTAACTTAACAACAAATTATACTAAACGGAAAACAAAATTATAAAAATTAGACTAAAATAGCCAGACTGTAGGACATTTGAGAATTGTCCCACAAATTTTGAAAATCTTTTATTCATTTGCTAAAATTACATTATGTTTAAATCTATGTTTTCATATTTAATTATTAGTATTGATTTAGCTAAATAAAGAAAAAATAAAGAATTAATGTAAATTGCAATTTTAGGTCAAGCTAAATAACCATGTTAAAAAAAAAATTGCTGAAGAAATTTTCAGTATTACTATTTTGGCTTAAAATGTGCAATTCTCCAGAATTCCCAATTTAGCAAATAACCCTTATTTTAAAAAAAGGATAAAAATGATATGATTTATGTTTCTTTTACTTAGGACATTTTCCAAGCAAGCCGCATTTCCTTTACAACTTGAGCAATATCAATGGATTTTTCCATCCCCGGCAAACCATCTTAGCAATGGTATATGGAAAATAATATCCTTTTAAACTTAATTTTTAATTTGCTGGGGCCTCTAATGGAGGAATCATTTGAGGTGAAATTGATTCCCATGAGTCCCACTCACAGACTGGATCACTCAGACCTTCTTCAATATGTTTCCTGGACAGTCGCGAAACAGAAAAATCCCTGCATTTTCCTTTACGTTCTCTTGGGACTACTATAAATAACAGAAACACAATATTCAAAGCACGCCATTTCTGTTCACAGCAGAGCAGGTTTAACTTGCGCACACACGCTATTTTGAAGTAACATAATTTAATCATTTAGACTTTTAATTTAAAGACGAGCCCCTTTACACACTCTAACCGACTTACAGTGCTACATAGTAACCTCTGTTTTTTATATATTCCTTGCTGCTCTTCAATCATAAAATTATTTGCGTATGTTCTGTTATATTGCAAATCTTTCTAATTGGCTTTGCAGCTATGCAGCAGGGATGTCTCCTGAATTTAAGTGGTAATATTATTACTGATACAGTCTTTGTGCTAAGAAAATGTATTCCTTCTTAAGTTCTGTTTTATGTGTATCACAAGGGAATTTTATTTTATGGGACAACTATTATAATATGCAGAAGATGAAGATTGTATGATTATAGTTTCACTCTGCAAGATTGATCTAGTTAAAATATATTTCTTTAGGAGAAACAATTATGGAAGGTACACCCTAGATCACATAAAATTAGGGCTATGACAGGTCGTAGTCTGCTTGTGCAAAAGATGTCACCTGGAAATGGGTGTTCATCAAGCTCCATGTACATTAATTATCAGCAACCCAGCTACAAACATTAAACGATCCACCGTAAAAATTCTCCTCAACACATAGCTTTCTGTTATCTCAGCTGTTATCTCACTTGTTATCATACCTTGTTATCTTACTCCTCGAGAGAAAAACTACTGTAGGCCAACAAAGTCTGGCAGTCTTGCATATCAGCTGGCCTATTCCATCACCACTTTTGTCCATGTAAACTCTGCCAGGCAACTGAGACATCACCCTCAAACTCCCAGTGTAGGGCAACGTACTTTGACTCACTACCTCTACTGATGGTATCATTAAGCAGAAGTTTAATCTAAGCGAACATAAAAAGGCTGCTAAATAGACTGGTGGTGATGGAGTCCACACTAATCATCCTGTGGACACTTCCATTAAGTCATCAGTCTTAGCCTGATTTGATGAGTCTTCCCTTCAGTTCACCAAGTGTTTATGAACAATGTGATCTAAATGGGGGTTGTTCCTGGACTATAGAGAAAAAAGAGAAAAAAAAACAAAACTCAAGCACATTGATAATGCAAATTAACACTTTCACTTTACCTATGTCAATTTTATCTAACCTTGCTTAATTTTTCCAGGTCTTCCTCTACCCCTAGTAGATATTTTTATCCATGATAACATGGTGCCAACAGCAGTCCCTTCTTTCCTTGCAACTTGATTGCAGTCTATACTTTCCGCTCATAGCTGTTTGTATGAAGAGCCTGGTCATAAGGGAGGAGGAGATACCACATTACATCCTCTCTCTCAATCAGCTGGCTCCACTAACATTCAGCACTGAGAAAAAGCACTGGCAGCAGGCTTGTGCTATAGAAGACAAGGTCTACTGGTGCTAACATGCTATGACAGTCATTAGTAAGATAAATTTGTGACAATAAAGCCCTGGTGTTCCTGTTACCGAAGGCACCAACAGTTCAGGCTTTATATAATCTGTTGGTACTTGCGTAAACTTGCACAGCTGATTGCTATACTATACTATAAGTGCAATGACTCGAACTTTAAATCGCTGACTTTCTTTTACAGGAACCAGGGTTTTTAAAAACTCAGCACACAATATTCAACTGTATTATTTGTTACAGTTCCCACTTTTTCCCACAACTACTTAGATCGGCCTAGCAGATATCGCAGCATGACAGTCAATATCACAAACTCTAGTTGGTCCCAACTGGAGGGAAGAGGCTCTGCCTCTTGTGCCATGTGATACATCAGAGTCCCTATTGTCACAACATTAAAGGACTCTAACTTAAGTACGAGCCTGCGTTCAAAACGTTAGAGTTGGTGGTGGTGCAGACACATGTATAAGGTCCTTCCTTTACAATAAAGTAGTTTTATACTGGAATAAATTATTGTTTCTACCTGGTACTTTTTTGTCATATTGATTGTTCTAAGACCGTTGAGCTGGTGCATTTGAGGATTGTTTTGCATGTAAGATGTGCTTCCCAATTATTGATCCTTGTCTAAGTTTACTCACCTGTGAACCTTTGCTGCTGGGATTAACCTTGTTCCTGACCTGACATCACCTTCTGGATTGCCCTTGTCTGTACTTTTTTTTACAATGCTATATTCTGCATATTGGTTGAGTCTCAATGGTGGTGGCCTGGGGAGGAGGCTGAGTGTTGTACATTTGTGTTGAGATGTTGCCTCTTATAGTAAGAGTTTTTTTAAAAAGTAGTCTGCAAAGTTTTCAGCACTGAAGTCAGACTATCAAGGTGCTGCAGGTGAGTAGATGATAGAGCTGAAGGTAGGTAGGTAAAATGCTGTTTAGGGTTGGAGGAAAGAGTAGAGAACTATTTTTGTCTGGCTTGGAGGATAGAATAATATGAATGGAAAATCAATATGTGGTGGATGAAATCAGCATCAGAGCAGGATTTTCTCCTTTCTATTTTTCCAAGTTTGTTGGAAGTGCCAGTGCTGTAACTGATGGCGTAGGATTTTGGATGAGCAATCATGTCTAGTACAGAGGAGAGAGTTTTGTTGTAATGGGCTGTTGCGAGATCAGGGAAGGTTATGGCAGAAGTATGTGGGAGGAGCTGGAGAGGATCCACATTGTACAGATTTCTAGTGCGAAGGCACATAGTTAGGTACAAATAAAGACTGATAAAAGATTCATGTTTTCACACATTTCGGTTTCTGCTGTTGATCCAAAGAGGGCACAAAATCAAATTTAAAGGACTAAATTTGAACAAAACAACCTTGATAGGAGAATAGCTATAAAATTTCTCATTGTATCAGCAAGCTGCTATTCCCATAATAACAATTATATACTTAAATATTGCTTCTTATCCAAAGTAAAGCATTCAGAAGTCTTTTTAAATTAGAAATCTGTTATGTTATGTGCATAAAATAAGGTGGGACTTTACCATTGCTCACTAGGTACCCCATGTTTTAAAAAAATTATAGTTTATCTGTAAAATTGAATTATAGGTTATCTGTAAAAATTACTAAGCTCACGCTTACTGTAATAAGGTTTATGGTTTATGACGGCAAGCTAAAAATATACCAAGATAAAGTAACTTACTCTTGCTAAAGAAGTTGCTGTCAGAATTCAAAATGTGTTCTTATAAATAGCCGTATTCTCACTGGGCAGTGTCACTGTTTGAATAATTCTAGGCTGTGAAGTCTATGAATATTATTGCCATATTTTCTTTCTGATCCCATCATCAAGGTCAGCATACTTTCCTGCATTCTGGATAGCATGCGTAATTTATCTCTCAGGGAGTATCACTGAGTTCTTTTTGTTATTTTTAGCAACATCCACAAAGATAAAATCTGAATTTATCAGATGTTTATGAATTATGCAGACCCCTTTTCCCTTCCATATGAAACCAAATTTTTAACAGGCGTAAAAAAAAAAAAATCATTAATCTCCACAATGACCTAAAGATATAGTACAAATGTAATCAATGTCATGTATATAAATCTGGGTTTGCTCAAATATGTCTTGTCTTTGTATGTACAAAAAATTCTATTTGTTACTAAGTGTTCCTATCTTCCCATGTGACCTTCTGTCATTAATGCACATCATGCACTTTATTTCAATGTCTCAATATCTCAATAATTATGCATGCCTAACAGTGATGTCCCGAACGGTTCGCCATGGGTGGCGAACATCTGCGCTGTTCGGTCCGCCCCCTATGTTATCATTGAGTAAACTTTGACCCTGTACCTCACAGTCAGCAGACACATTCCAGCCAATCAGCAGAAGACCCTCCCTCCCAGACCCTCCCACCTCCTGGACAGCATCCATTTTACATTCATTGTGAAGTTGCATTCTTAGTGAGCTGTCCAGGAGGTGGGAGGGTCTGGGAGGGAGGGTCTGCTGCTGATTGGCTGGAATGTGTCTGCTGACTGTGAGGTACAGGGTCAAAGTTTACTCAATGATGACGAATAGCGGGCGGACCGAACAGCGCATATGTTCGCCGTCCGTGGCGAACCGTTTGGCGAACCGTTCGAGACATCACTAATGCCTAAGACCATCTTAATTGTCTGCTACTATGATAAGTAGGGATATCGTGACCTCAGGCAATTGTCATATCAGATTTCAGAGTTTATTGCCTCAATACTGCCCCAAATAACTTGATTGCTTTCAAGAACTCGTATTGAATTAATTGCTTTCATACGTTATACAGGCGAAGATTTGATATTCTCTTCTTATAAAACACAAATCCAGTACAATCAGAAGCAAAAAGTTAAAATAGAAAGCCACAAGCAAGGACAAAGAACACCTGAATGTTCTTATCAATTGAGGATAATGGCTTGCAAGCTAAAGTTAAGGCTAGTTACAGGACTGAAAGGAGCACTTACAACTCATTTATAAACTGTCACGATTCGGGGAACCCAACACGCTGGCACACGCACACACACAAAAGGTGCCGTACTGGACCTTAGAGTGGCCGGGCTAAGCACACACAGAATAGTCAGGAAACAAGCCGAGTAAAGGGGAACCAGAAGACAGAATAACGTGAAACAAGCCGAGGTCAAAGGGTAGGAGAAAGTCACAAAGTCGGATAAACAAGCCAGAGAGTACGTAACCAGAAACACAAGTTCAGTATCAATACTAGCAGGTAAAGACCACAACAGGGCAGGGAGGAACAGGAAAGGTAAGTATTTAAACCATCAGGTTAATTCTGATTGGATAATTTCCAATCAGAATTAACAATCACACGTGGGAGATATCTAGACCTCCCACTGTGATTGAGGCACTGTGCCTTTAACGCCGGGTCAGGTGACTGACCCCGGCGTGTATAAACCTGGGCGGTCTCCCAGCGTGCAGCGTAATGCATGCTGCCGCTGGGGGACGTGGAGGGAGCGGCGGGCGGCATCCGAGGCTGGAAGGATGCCGCTTGCCGTACCCACGAGGAGGAGGGGACCGTGGACGGCTGGAGGGTGAGTACTGCGAGCGGAGTGCAGCCTCCCCTCGCAGCCGCCCGCGGAAACCTGACATAAACTTGTGCCAAATGAATCTTAACAAAGCTAGCCACATAAGAGTGACCATGTCCTTACTGTGGCTGACTGTGGAGGTACTGAGAATTTTGGTATGACCATCAATGATTGTGCAGTTTACAAGCACACTTGTCAGGCTTCTCCAAACTCTGGCCCTCCAGATGTTGCTGAACTACAACTCCCATGATTCTATGACAACTCCCATGATTCTATGAATGAAATAGATAGGCAGAAACTCATGGGAGTTGTAGTTCAGCAACATTTGAAGGGCCGGAGTTTTGAGAAGCCTGCTCTATGTAGTTGCTACTTCCATAATAGCTACTTTCCTTTCAACTCATTATATACCAAGTGTGGACCTAAAAACTCCAGAAATGTTTACTACATTTAAGAAACAATATAGTAGCAAAAAAACATTATGACAAAAACAATTAACAATAATTTTGATAATTTTATAAAATATTGTAGACTATTAGATATGAAAATATGATTATGATATGAAATGATTAGGTCTCTTCAGGCTAGGAGGCATTTTGATAAGATTGTAATGTTCTTACGAAATACTTCAAGGAGATGAAAACCAATTACTTTATAGACAGCATGCAGCCACATGAGTTTAACCTTTAGCAGGTGCACTCATTTGAGAGGAACTCTGGTATACTTTAACTTTACATTCACAGTAACGGCTAGAGTAGTTTTATTTCAGCTGA